AGGGCATGCACCATCATACAACACGTAGTAAGTTAACTCCAACAGTAAGGTCACTTACCTCGATGGCCTTGATCGAAGTCACTCACAACAAGCTAATTCCAACGGTTAATTACATCTTATAATAACCACATAAAAATTTAGGAACCTTTCATAACATACATACCTACATCTCATAACATGCTAAATCTCACTATTTATCAAGATAAACTCCCAACACAATCTGTCTTTTGACGATTAGGAACCATACTGACCTCGAATGACAAAAATAAGGGCAAAAACAATTTTGGGAGGGCCAAAAACCTTGGAATCGATATATTATAGTGATGCCAAGCCACCGAGCCGACCAACTAAGCCGCCAAGTTGGGCCGTGGGAATTGACGAAGCCGAGCCGACGTACCCGCCAAGCTGAGCCGAAAGTACGCGTGCGGAGCCAAGAGCGGAGCTGCAGGCGCGCGTCTGTGTTGGGTCAAAACACACACGGCCCATGTTCATCCGTGGGCTGGTTCAGAGGCCGAATGACCTGACCCAACTTTGCATCTCCTTCGCCAGAAACCTCACGAAAACCCTAATCAATGATGCACCGCCTCCGCCGACGACATAGTCTTCTCCATTTCCAGCGACGATCACGTGGCGTCCTCCGATTTCAACGGTCTACCTTCCTCGACGCAGCGATCCCGACGTCGATGTTTACTTCCACTTGATTCTTCCTTCGAAACAGCAACGTTAATCGATTTCGAGAAATCACAGAAAAACCCGCAAACCAATCCACACACTTTTGCCCCTAATACTCTCAATTTTTCCGTTCTTTCAGTCACCCTCGGACACATAAACGAGTTTGGAGAGCAAAAGTTGTTCAAGGAAAAAGAACGGTTGAATATAGGAATTTAAAGAGTCTCCTAACATTTCCATTAAGTAATAACTTTCTTGTCGGAAATGGCACCTTTTCCGGCCAGAATAGATGCATGGCATAATATTTTTCATTTTTTGGGGCAAAAATAAAATCTCAACATAAAATCTAAAAGAAATAAAATCTAAACCCTTACCATCATCTACCCAAAATTTATAACCATCTAAAAATTAATAAAACTTGATTCATCTTTAATGTGGGTTATTTTTCACATCTTCCCAAAGTTCATATTACTTGATTGAGATGTCTTAGTTCATATCATTGGGGTTTATCTAGAGAGACTATGAAGATAGTGGTGATAGATCGAAGTCTTGCTTTAGAACACAGAAATTCTTAGTGATTGAGGTCTTGCTTGAAACCTGTTCTTAGTTCTTGTTTTCAGATGATTTCCTTTCCATACATTATTGTTATTTAGATTATTCTTTGCAAACTCCATCCAAAATAAAGGCTTGATTTACCCTTGAGTTAGTTTTATTGTTTAGGGATCCCAAGATCTTAAACATTAAGAAGTTTTGATAAATTTATTGTGTTTAAATCCTTTTGCTTTTCTTGAGCTTCTGCATGTTTTCAAAAGCCCACATCTTGCACATTTGTAGTAACGATTCTCTAATGTCCAATTTGAAAAGTTGGGTCATTACACAACTAATATTTCAATGGCTACAATTATTCATAAACCAATGTTAGAAAATTCAAGTATTTAAACTCTTGGGATATCAACTAAAGTTGGAGAATTCAAGTATTTAAACTCTGAAGTATCAGCAAAGGACCGACCAAACATCAACAATATTCAAAATCTTTGAAATGTGGAGGATGGAAAACTCAAATTGTTGAGTAGAAAAGGGAGCAACTCATGACCAATATTTTCCTCTCTGGTATGTTGGTGGGCCATTCTTTCAGGAAAGAAAATGAAAATTTATGGGTTCAGCTGATTAGAGTGTTCTTATGGCACATATGGTCCACAAAGCTTTTATCTAACTTCTTCCTTTTATAGGTTTCTTGAAATGGTTATCATTCATGCTCTAAGCTGGTGTAAATGCTACTTTTCTCCTTTCACAAGCTTTTATCTAACTTCGTTTAGAATTGGGGTTTCCTCCTTTTTGTATATTCCATCTACATTCCTAAGTATTTTATCTAACTTCGTTTAGAATTGGGGTTTCCTCCTTTTTGTATATTCCATCTACATTCCTAAGTAAAGTATATGTGATATATGTAAGGACTTCTAAAAGTGTTAGGAACCCCGACTCCCCACAATGGTACGATATTGTCTACTTTGAGCATAAGCTCTCATGGCTTTGCTTTAGACTTCCCCAAAAGGCCGAAGATGTATTCCATACTTATAAACCCATGATCCTTCCCTAAATTAGCCAATATAGGACTCCCTCCCAACCATCCTCAACAAAGACATGGTGTAAGATCAATTATAGACACATCAAGATCAGTCTAAACCAGACCTAAACAGAAAAGAGAAGTTCATCAAAAAGTTAGTCAGTAGATCACCTGAGGCACTATGGACCCTAAGAGTTCCAAAGTGAAGTCAAAAGATGCGCCGTGCAGCCCCTTCGCTGAGAAGCTGAAAACCCCGTGAGGTTCACACTTGACAGAAATATCTTTGGCATCAGGTAAAGCAACAGTGAGATAAAGCTTATCAGAACGCTGAGCCCATAGAACCGCCGGGTTACGGCTACTGCATACACGAGAAAATCTATGGTGATGACTTGATTACTACCTTCTTCTACCAAGGTGATCAAAACCCCAACTCCATCCATTCCAACCCACATTTACCAGTCTTGCAACCATTCAAACATATTACAGACAACATCATCTACAAGCATCGGTCCAGAAAAAAAGAAAAAATCATTCCAAAAACAAGAATCCAAATTAAAGAAGATAAAACGTCACATTGTTCTAAGCGCAACAAAGTTGAAGAGGAAGAAACAAGACGATGCAGGAAGAGGTAAAATGGCGAATAATCAGAATCAGAAATGGCTAAAGATAATCAAATGCACGACTGGAACATGTGAAGAAACAGTAAAATTAACAGAAAAATACCTCATTCTGAGGACGACAGAGGAGAAAAGGAGGGGATTGATCCTTAGAAAGGATGTTGAAGACAATCGAGAGAGACCCTTCTCGGTTACACTGGGAGGAGTAGGAGCCTGAATTTAAATTTGAAGTCCACCCTGGGGCTTCGTGCATAATTGTTTAACCACATTTTTGGTCGGAGGACGATTGGATTCTTTGGATTTTAAGTTCTCTTCCTTTGGCTGGTTATGAACACAAATTTGAAAGTTGGGACAAGGGAATGGGATATAAAATTTCAAAGGACCACAACCCCTGATCGTAAAACTAACACCCAAGACAATCCTCCACTATAATTGTGTATGACTGTGCCAACTCTCGGTGCTTCCCAACCTCGACGAGTACTCAGCAGTCACAAAGAAAAGTAGAATTTGGTGATTATAAACATACTTAGTAAGCCATCTTGAGTAGGCTCTAATCTCATCCCTACCTAATTAGTTGCCATAGGCTTCTCTCTGGGTCCTAAAAAGTGTAAACCTTGATTCAACAGTTATCTAAGTTTCTAGAGAGGTTTAGAAGTTTCAATTAGTTCTCTTACTTGTCACTAACCTCGAGATGTTCACCGTTTTTGGCAGCACGGTTCTACTGGATGGCGTAAAAGGTGAAACTATCATTTTTGTTCTTCCAACTTAGTTTAACTTACATTGTCTTGTAAGTGGATGACTAGTATCCTAGGTGGAGGTGCGAGTCATATATCGTAAAACAATATGGCTTTATCTCTCTAAATATTTTTGTGTAAGGTTAATTGGAGATCCTTCTACAGGAGCCATAAATTTAAAAAGTTTGGGGAGCAACCTCGTGTGTCGACCAAGTACTGAGTCTACATGTGTGGTCTCTTGTCCCCTCTCAAGATGGCTTTATAGCACAAAGACCCTATTCAAAAGACCCCCAAGCATTTTCACATGATAGTGGTACCTACTCACCTCAACGAAACTAGCTTCTATATACATACTGCTTGGTAGGGGCGCTATCAGGTTCGACTTAGGATCGTTGATAGTGTTAGGATCGATACTAGTTGTTAGCTCTGATATCAATTGTTAGGATCACTCAACAACGCACACATTCGATCAAGATGAACACAAAGAACATGAGAGAGAAAATACACGGAGGAATATTGGCTAATGGTTTTATTATAGATGACTTTAGGTATGTACAACGAGAGAGAATACAGAAAATGGAGAGAAGTACATTTTGAGAGCACTACTTAATATGGTATATATATGGTTTCAATTTACTAAATATAGCTTCCAAAGATTTAAATGTACGAGATATAATCTAACAAATATATCTTTATCAAATTTTTACCAAATCTCTACCATATATATCTCTATGGCGTCTTTACGAAAATATCTCTATGGCGTCTTTACGAAATATCTTCCAAATATATCTCTACTAGATATAGGCATCAGGCTTCATATCCCAATAATCTCCCACTTGGAGACTGATCCAGTCAACCGCAACAATCTCCAATTAGAGACGGGTCCAGTCAACTCCAACAAGTCAACCAAGAATTTCATTCTCAATCTATACATACCAATACATACCAATTAAGGCTTTGCACAATCTCAATGTTCCAACATCAACATAAAATGTTTGCTAGATTCTTTGGACCCTCTATCTTCTCCAAACACATCACCATCTTCAACTAACCTCCGAGTGAAATGGTATCACCTTCTGTGTTTTGAATGATAGACTGGGTTCCTCGCCAATTGCATGACACTCTAACTATCGACCTGAAGAATCTTCTCGTGCTTCTTATTGCCTAATTCTTCTAGATAGTCTATCATCCATATCATCTTCTTTCCAGTTTCAGCTAATGTCACGTACTCAACCTCAGCAGATGAAAGAGCAACGCATTTCTGAAGCCTAGACATCCCATCATCCGTAACTTGCTCCCACATAGTTGTATCCTCCAACTGTAGGGTCTCATCAAGGGGCTTTCATTTCCCTACATCAGTCACCAACCGATAGTGTAAAGAAGGTACATACCTATCTGGTAATTTGATGGCTCTGGATGATCTTTTCAACACCTGCTTAGGTGTTACTTGCTCCTCTTCCGGTTCTTCAGCAACAGTCTTAGGAGTTTCTTGAGTATCAGCTACAACATCATTAAGTGAATCTTTCAGCAACTCAACCTCAACCTCAACCTCAACTCCAACTTGCTTCACCTCTGGTTCCTCAGCAAGAGTCTCAGGAGTTTCTTGAATATCCGCTACAACATCACTATGTGAATCTTTCTGGTTCCTCAGCAAGAGTCTCAGGAGTTTCTTGAATATCCGCTACAACATCACTATGTGAATCTTTCAGCAACTCAACCTCAACTCCCACTTGCTTCACCTCTGGTTTCTCAGCAACAGTCTTAGAAGTTTCTTGAGTATCTTCTACAACATCACTCTGTGAATTGTTCTGCAACTCAACCTCACCTCCCACTTGCTTCGTTGTCCCGATACTTTTCTTCAATTCTCTGACAGTCTTTATGAAGCTAACTCGTTTCTGTTTGCTCATAACACAGTTCACACAAGGACTCATATCAACAGATTTCAGAAGTTCCAAAACTTCTTTTGCAGCTGACATCTTCATTCCTTTAACATTCATATGACCAAGTCTATTGTGCCATATACTTGAATTTGAAGCACTCTCAGCAACAGCAACTCTGTTCATACACCCTACAGTGGTGTATAAAGTTCCAGATTTTGTGCCACGTGCTACCACCATAACACTCTTCACAATTTTCCACAGTGGTGTATAAAGTTCCAGATTTTGTGCCACGTGCTACCACCATAACACTCTTCACAATTTTCCATGAACTCTTACCAAACTTTGTTGCATAACCTGTGCTATCCAACTGACCAATAGAGATCAGGTTCTTCTTGAGACTAAGAATATATCTGACATCCTTTAATGTCCACTGATTTCCTGCCGGAGTTTTTATGCAGACATCGACTAAGAATATATCTGACATCCTTTAATGTCCACTGATTTCCTGCCGGAGTTTTTATGCAGACATCCCATTTTCCTTCGATCTTCAAATCTTTGTTGTTGGCAAGATACACCTTCTTGAAACTTCCAGACTTAAAATTTCGAAACAACTCTTTATTTGGAGACGAATGAAAAGATGCACCCGAATCCAAAATCCAGAATTCAATCGGACTGTCCACGTTGAAGATTAGAGAATCTCCAATGTCTTTTGCTGATGTATCGAATCATCGTCATTCTCTGATTTGTGATTATGCTTCCTCTTTGTACAATCTGCCCGAAAGTGACTTTTTTCTCCACAACACCATCACTTTACATTTGGTTTGTTTGGAGATTTTTATCGGTTCCTTGATTTTGATCACTCATTGTTTGGGGCCTTTGATTTACTTATTCCCCGTTGGTCAACACTAAGAGCACTCCCAGATGAATTTCCAAGTTCTCGTTTACGAATACTTTCGCTGAGAACTACATCTCGAATTTCATCAAACTTTAGTTTATCAGATTCTCGGAAATTGCTGATTACGAAAACAACAGTATCCCACGACTCGGGTAAAGATGACATCAAAATCAATGCTTTAATTTCATCCTCGAAATTAATTTCCACCGAACTCAGTTGACTTACGATCATATTGAATTCATTTATATAGTCCACAACAGATCCACCTTCAGACATCTATAGATTGAACAATGTCCGCATCAACACCTTGTTCATTGCCGACGGTTTTTCGTACATATTCTACAGCGCCTTCAACAGATCTAACGTTATCTTCTCCTTGATGATGTTGAACGCCACATTTCTGGATAGCGTCAACCAGATCATCCCTAAGGCTTGTCGATCCTTGAGCTTCCACTGTTCCGTGGTCATGGTATCCGGCTTCACCTCCAATAGGGGTTTGTGAAGATCTTTCTGGTACAACTAATCTTCAATCTGCATCTTCCAGAAATCGAAATCGGATTCATCAAACTTCTCAATTCCAATCTTTGAACTTTCTATCTTCACAGATCATGGTGACTTTCGCCTCTCTCTGATACCAGTTGTTAGGATCAATACCAATTGTTAGCTTTGATACCAATTGTTAGGATCACTCAACAACGCACACACTCGAGATGAACACAAAGAATAGGAGAGAGAAAATACAAGGAGGAATATTTGCTAAAGGTTTTATTATTGATGATTTCAGGGATGTAACAATAGAGAATACATAAAATGAGGAGAAGTACATTTTGAGATCACTAAGTAGGTTATATATATGGTTTCAATTTACTGAATATAAATATAGCTTCCAAATATTTAAACTTACTATCTATAATCTAACAAATATATCTCTACCAAATATTTACCAAATCTCTACCATATATATCTCTATCATATCTTTACGAAATATCTTTCAAATATATATCTACCAGATCTAGGCATCAGGCTCCATATCCCACTAGATAGCCTAATGGTATGGTGTACTAGAGAAAATAGAAGGTAGAGACTCTAGTGATATCGTTCACACTGCTATTAGGCCTAGTAAGCCTATTTAGTATTCCCCAAGTGTCATAGAGGTTAACTAAATTCTTAGAGCGTCTAGGCGGTTAAATCTCGAACTTCATTTTCAAGACTTTCTAGACTAGCTCCTCGAAGCTGATATGGTTTTGAGTTTACTAGGGTCTTGACCTAGTAGAGACATATAGTAGGTCAAAACTTGCTATTATATATATCCAAACTGAGTCAACTTAAGCACCACTCATCAACTGGTTGAGGCATTATATCATTGACTTAAAGGCTAAAGGTTTGATTCCAAATTCCACACTTATTGTTGAACTAAAATACACGTGCGCTAACCCGTTAGCTTTTTGCTTTAGAAAATTGAATAGACTGAACTAAACTTCGAACATTTAGTACCGATTGAATCGATTAGTTTTAATTACTTCAATTTTATTTTCTTTCGATCACAACTAGCACAGCTACTTTTAAAGTAGAACATTGACTTCAAAACTTGATTCCATTGGTTTTGTTTTCCTCCAACATTGATTCTATCTTAATGTTAGCAGGAAAAGCTGATGGAAAATGACTTCAATGTTATTCATCCCGATGGCATTGGTTTATGAATTGAAAATGAAGGTGAAGGGACTGGATCATCGTGGGCGGAGTAGGTCGTCGGCAAAGATGGTGGGGAGCTGGCTATTTTCCTCATCTTCCTCGTCTTCGATGGATCGGCGGGGGAGATGGAGAGGCTCTAAGTGATGGGGAGATGGGGCAGTCTCCGTCGGAAGGTCGTAATTGGAAGCAAAACTGCTCAAATTGATTGCATTATGAGCGGAGGTGGAGGCTGAGACAGAGATGGAGGAGTTGTTGGAGTATGCGGGCTGCAGCTGCACTCCCACTTGCGGTGGCTGTGAGTTCTGAATTGCACTTGCAAATGCCAACCTGCTGCTTATTAATTGACTTTGAACCGCCGCAAGCTCCGCTTTGAATTGCACTTGCAAATGCCAACCTGCTGCTTATTAATTGACTTTGAACCGCCGCAAGCTCCGCTTGCAGAGATGCCACCTGAAATTGATAAATATATTTCAATTTTAATTTTTCTAAATATTTTTAAAAAATTTAAATTTAGCCAGCTAAATTAATGTGTTTAAAGGAGTATAAAAATTTATAAATATTATTTTCCTTCAAAATTTAGAAATGGATAAATTATAATTTAAAATTGGTTTTATTTAGCATCATTATAATTTTATTAAAATTTTGCGTAAATATCTTCGTTATTGGTAAGGAAGCAACAACAAAATTTACGAACTTATCTATAATTTGTCTTGAAAAATATGCATCAATAAATAATATGTTATAAAATATTGTTAGTTTAAAAAATCACAGGAAAAAGAAGACCTGTTGTTGAAGGGCAAGTACAGTTGAGACACAGCCATAGACAGGGTCGGAGAGTCTAGCCTGAGCTTCATAAGAAATGGTAACGACGGCGTCGTTTCGGCGACTGAGCGGAATATGCAGCAGCAGCTTCGATACATTACTCGCTCCAAACACCTTATGCACGGCGGCGACTGAGCGGAATATGCAGCAGCAGCTTCGATACATTACTCGCTCCAAACACCTTATGCACGGCGGCAAAGCGAGCAACGCCCTGATCGGAGGCAAAATGCGGTGCAAAGATGCAGCCATTGACACATTTTCTACGGAGAAACTTGCAGGCACCACAGGGAGCGGTGGTAGCCCCGATGTCGGTAGGGGTGGCGGAGCTGGTGTCGGTGTTGGTAGTGGAGGAGGTACGTTTGCCAAGGTCTTTCCGGCGAGGGAATTGGTGATCAGCATCAGCCATGTGAAGGCAATGTAGAAGGAATTATTGTAGGGATTGGTTTTATAAAGAGAGAGGGCCACGTTAGTCTCGTGGGAAAGGTTGGCGAAAATGAGGAAGTTTCTTTTGAATAATCGCTTTCTAGAGACGTTATGAATGGGTTGGTGAAGGGAGGGAAATGTGAAGAGCGGGGTGGTGTGAGATGCACGTGCAAAGGGAGTGACTTCTTCTTCTCTTCTCTC